GTTAAGAACGCTGTGTGATATTTATGATTTATTGCGCAACAGGATATACCAGAAGCAATAGAAGCAGTACTTAGTAAGAGAAAACCAACATTCAGTAAATTATGATAATTTCGTTTTATTAGTTGGGTAAGGGAAATATTTTGAATCAAACACATATATCTATACAATCTATTATGCGACATGTCTGTGCGCATTCGACATCCGACTAGAGTCCAAAATAAATATATATATACGTACTATCTGGTTTTTCATTTTCATACATATTCATACAATTTTTATAAGCCTATTTTTCCTCCTATTACTTACTTTACATAGCTTTGCTCATACGGTTCTGCTCGCACGGCCATACTCCGAAAGTGGGGCTAGCAACGGCACAACTATTTCCCATACGATTTCTTAAACCATTCATACTATTAGAATACCTCAATTTTGTATTTGGATTACTCTTATTACCCGTATCACTTGTATTCCTATTTGGATTGTTTTCACTCCCGCTATCCATGCCAACATTTCCGTTTATCGATGGATCGAAAGAGGCGCTTCGTCGGTGTGAATTCCGATGATGCCTCGGTGGAGGACATAAACTATTCCCAAGTATACGATCGAATCCAATCACGTTATTCGGTTGTTCATGCGGACTAGACGGAGCCGAATGGATTTCAGGAGTGATCGTTGGTATATCATCCTCGTCGGGCAGATTCAGATACCAACTGGGACGGCCAGTGCGACTGTACATACGCGCTATTCTATCATTGGAAGAAGGGGGGTAGCTGGGCGACAGGGTCGGGGTTACCTCTAAGCGAGGTTGGGTTTGAACGTTTGTAGTACTTGAAGCGGTGGAACTGGTGCTATTGGAAGAATCTGAGCGGTGTAGCCATCGGCCGATCGTTTGAGCTAACCTGCGAGTGCTTTTCTTGGGTCTTAGCGATGTAGTAGTTGTCGTTGTTGCAGTAGTAGTTGTTGCTGCTGCTGTCGTTGCGGAAGGCAATGGGAGCGGTTCTGATGTAAAAGGCTGATTATTGTTTGATAAAGCTGGAGTATGTGTGTAATCGCCTTCATCAGGATTTGGTGTTGCTGGCCTCGAGTTGTTTCTTGACCCCGCCATTGAAGGCGAACTGGAATAACATGTATCATCTCCCTCTCTTCCTTCGACTGGCGTGATAGGTCTAGATATGGCTTCAACTTCATTCGGAGCTAACACTGACTCGATGCTCTTTATGACATCATCATATGTCGGGAGACTGCCATCAATGCTTTCTGTACCAAGGTCATCGCTCGGAATATCAGTAACGACCAGAGGAAACCCTAGTTCGAGATCTCTCTCTCTTCCATCCTCGAATGACATTGTTATCTTGAGCTTATGCCTGACAGATACTAAAGGAGATGTTATGGTGGGCTTTAGTCGCGTCTTGCGAGTAACTCCTCCAACTATACGAGCCGAATTGTATCTCTCGAATGGAAGGTTGTAGGTCAGCGGGTTATTCCAACAGTCTTCGTGATGAGAGATTGTAAGCGAAGTAGGTTTAATTGGATGCGATCGTTTGCGTTTTATTCCACTTGAACCACTTAATTGAACGTTCCCGATCAAGCGAGCTCCTTCTATTGCATATTCTTGAATATCTTCTTCGGTTGGATGTACTCTGTATTTCTCTGATTGCGTCAACGAGAAGGTAATCTTTTTTAGCAATCCCTCCTCACGGAGAGGCAATAGACGTACTCGAAGTAGCATGCTCTTTTCGTTTGCACCTACGACGGTAGGTACATCCAACTCGTATTTGAGTATAGATTTTCGTTGACCTTGATAAACTTTCGTGGGGGGGGCGGGAAGTTGATCTCTACTGCATGTTAAGTAATATCTGCCAAAATGTATGCTTTTCTCAGCTCGACCAACTTTGGCCAGAAGTGAAGTTGGTTGCACAATAGCAACTAGTGTGTACTTGATCATTCCGAAATTAGTAACGTACGTTTGGGGAACGTGGCCGGGAATGTTGAATTCAAAGTCCAAGTCAGATACCCCTCTCGGAAGTACGGCTTTTTCGGTGAGCACTTTCTCCATTCTGAGTACATCAACACTAGCATATTGGTTTTCCCAGTCGGAATAATCCGATCTCCCTTTGAGTTTGATGACAACTGCTTTGGCTTTTAATGGCTTGGAGAGGACAATTCTGATTTTTCCGGTCAACTTGTGATTCACCTCTCTGTTCGGTGCGCCATACATGGCGACTTTGCCGTTGTTGTCTGGGATGATGTCTACTGCGATAATACTATTCATTTTAGAAAATGAGTAATAGTAGAAATCGGAGTATTTACGAAAGAAAATTATTGGTAATAGCAGTAAAGCGCGTTATATTAAATTATGTTGGTTTATAAGATTAATGAATAGAATAAGTTAGGGCAGTCGCTACGATAAATTCGAGTATTGCTGCAATTCTCTCTCTACTACTATGCCTCACTCCAGAGTGGGCAGTCTATGCGGAATAGCGGTATAATTATAAAGACTTGTGAAGCCGAAATATGTGAAGAGAGGCGAGATCTAAATTTTCCAGGATTGATGTGTATATATATCGAAACGAACATGCTTCTGTTCTTTAAAGGTTATTTGTTTATTTATTAAGGATCGTCGGATATGCAACCGAAACAAAGATCACAATTGGGACTTGATTTGCTAAATTGGTGCTTTAGTATACCATAAGTGTTAGAGCTCCAAGATTATGATTGGCTCCAAGTAGAATTTCGATTGTTGATTCAGGCAACAAAATGAATAAATGAATTGTTAATCTGAAACCCGCCCGGAACAAAGTAAAGGAAAAGCTTTTGTTCGCCTAATATGCACATGTAAATTTTTCCATTGTCCCTTCTCAAGCTGTGTCACACCATGTTGATGAAAATTCTATTTTCGTTATATGATTATGACGTCAACGAATAAAGAAAACAGTAAATATAAAGTAACATTCTAATAGAACTCGCGCAATTCAAAGTGCCAACCAACAACGTCAACGTCCAAAAACCGCAACGTTATGACATTACTTTCCATATGTCGACCATTCGCATTGGTACACTAATTACAAAACCCTTTTGGGATTATTTATTACAGACACTTGCATGCCTTTCTTTCATTAGGACATTAATGCTCGTTGGATGCTCGTTGGATGCTCGTTGTCTTGTCAACTCAAGCTCTGTCTTTCCTCTTGTGTTGTGATTTATCCTTGTTCGAAACTCTTGGCGATCTTTCTGCATCAGTAATATTATGTGGGGGTCAACCTTTTGAGTTCGTTATAGTCAAGATTCATGCCTAATTAGCGATTTTGTCCTTCCAGATATTTATTATGGGAAACCAACACTTGCAATGGTATTATGCACATCCAGAAGATCAGCACCGAATTGTGCCGGCATTTAACTGGCTTCCGAAACAAATCGGACAGCACAGTTACACTCTCGGATATCCTCGGCTATGAAGATGGTTTTTGGGTAACTAAGTCCCGTGACCATATTAGCCTTACATATCGATATTAATATTGAATTTTGAGCCATGCTATATGCTGTAATTCTGAATAGTTAACTAAATTCTGAACAGCGAGTGTTCCACACTTTAAACCATTTTGATTCTTATAGGGAAACATGTCTTCATGCTTCCAATGACGCCTAGATTAGCGGTGCTGGTGCAATTAACTTTTTCCCGAGACGGCGCGCGGTTACGCCGCCAATTTCCTAATCCAATTATCACATTGTTGGTCGAAAGATGAATTGTAGTTTTGCCGATTGTTATGTGACATTTGCGTCTCATGATAGCGATAATCGGGTAAAAACGTGCCGAGGCTTTACAAATTTGGACATTTCCGCGTGCCATTCTTTCGATTTATTAATTTTTAACACAGCTTTTTTGGATCAAGCGCCGGCTCTTTCCCACTAGACTCTGTTGCAGGCAGGCTTTTGACACATTCCGAAGAATAAATTAATTTTACCATGTTTCGGTATCGACCTTGCTGCAATCCTAGCTTCCAATTATTACAGGCTTAAAATTGAAGCTCGCATCGATCAGGCATTTTTTACGAATATACGAAAGTTTCAATGGCAAGGAAAATTTAGCGGATATGACTTTACACGCGAAATCACAGTCAAGCATAACGTAAACATCGGTTAGTAATGATTACATTCACCATATATTTTGAATATACTGTTATCACACAAATGGACTCGTATGTAATCAAAAGCAGTAGTGACTGGTTAAGAATATGATGTAGGATGTAAATTAACCACTGCGTCAAGAATGTTGCTTAACGCGATAGATATCTGTCGATAACAGACTTATCGAGAAGAGTCCGACAGCGTGATGCGTTCAAATTGAACTATTTACTAATAATCATACTGGAGATATAATTACTAGTATACTATAGAAAAGTTGTTTAAGTAGAAAACGTAGTAACATTGCAAAGATACCTCTAGTATTTAAATGTGTATAACAAAGTGGAAGAACGATTACTTGAAGGAACTGCCGAAGCATGATGTATTTATTATTTGCTGATGCTGCAATATCTTTTACGTTCCAGATGTCCGTCGCTAAGAATATTCGGCTAACTGCTAGACATTAATTAATATCATTAGCATATACGAGGGTATGGTACTTGAACAATCAAAATTACAAACCTTATTTTGAAACTCGCGTCAAAGACTCAATGCTTTGTTCCAATGGGAAGACGTCCTGTTTTTAGTCGGATCAATACTACACGCAAATGTGCAAGTAATTACTATTTCTTTAGTATCTTGGTACGAATATATGGATTTTCGGGTAGACCAGCAGCTTAAAAATTAATATCCGCATACATTAGTTAACAAGGGACACTAAAACGAAATAAATAAAGGACATGTAGTTTGTTGTGATTCATCTTGAGAAATGGCATAACTCGAGCGAACAACTTATTATGGTATATTAAATTTATTATATAATACAAATGAAACAAACCTCACGAGCTTAATACAATACAAATGTAAAGTATGTTAATGCATATCTTCTATAACACGTCATAACATGAATCAGTATATCTATTTATAACTTATTTGCATGGGAGAAGCTCCTGGCATTGCATTGCTGTAAACTTCTCACCTGAACTTAAGTGATTAAAGTTATCGGAAGAGGTGTATCTTACGAAAGTCGATTCCTAAAATACGATTGCTCTCTTGACCCTCTTCCTTTATTATTCTATGTCCAAATTCTCCTTGGTCGTGAATACTTACACCGTAAAAAGGGCTGATCTCAACTGTCCAATATTCTTCCCCTGGTGCCAACTGCATCAGCAGGCAGCCTTTTTAACGAGTGTGCGTTCTTTGATGTCGCGTCACTTGGTCAGGACGAGAAAACGCTTTCTCACAATTGAGTTCCGGACATTTGAATGGGCGTTCACCGGTGTGTATCCGCATCTACATATTCAAGGTCACTAGTATGAGAGTTTACTGGAACGATATAATCAAACGGGAACAAACCGAAGCAACTTACATGTTTTGTGAGGTTAGATGATTCTGCAAAGCGTTTTCGACAACCACTAAACTTACATTGGAAAGGTTTCTCTCCTGATTGGGGGTGGTGAAGGTGGTCGTTTATAACAAAAAATTCGTCATGTCATTGGCTTTCAGTAAGAAAAACGTATGACAGTCAGTTTGCTAAATTTCGTTTGTCCCTTACCTGTATGCATTCGAAGATGAATAGTCAATGCGCCAGATATGGAGAACTGTCGACCACACTCTGAATAATGACATTTGAACGGGCGCTCTCCAGTGTGGATTCTCATATGCTGAGTCATGATGTTGGCCTCGGAAAAGCGTTTATTGCAGTTATTACACTGGTACGGCTTATCGCCTATTATACAATGGAACAAAGAAATCTTAATATCTCTAATCATATTTCGGTTCATCGCCTGATTAAACATACCGGTATGTGTTTGCATATGCCTCATAACTTTCTGTCTCTGCGAAAATGGCCTCCCGTTCCTCTCGCATTGTTCCCAATAGCATACATATTTACTTTTACCGCTCCCGACATGACCTTCACTTAAATGCGATGTTAAATCATCGAAAGTCTGAAATCGTGCAATACAGTCCCCCCATTTACATAAATGTTTGTACTCCTTAGTACCCAGATGATCCGAGCATAAATGATTAATCAATTCGTCACTGCCATCCTTTTCGGCTGAGCATGAAGCCCATCGACAGAAAAGACCTTTGGTTCGCCCGGAAATATGTAGTTTAGAAACATGTCGAATAAGCTCGTCAATAGACCTAAAGGCAGCTGCACATGCAGCCCAGAGGCAGCGTGCTTCACTAGAAGTGTCTGGATCTTTGCGTTTCACGGCCGAATTGGTTTGCGATGGTAATGCTGAAGGTTGTGTTGGTGCAGGCGAAGCGTCATTAGCCGTGGTTGCACTAATGACAGATGGAGGTTTGGGTGGCGCAAATGGTCGCGAGTGCGACCAAGTGAGTTGTCTAAGTGTTGAAGATTGTTCATTTGTAGATGATGATAATGGAATGTCTGATGAAGTTTTTGGCGACTGTATTTGGAAGGACGATAATTGGGAAGATGATGTCAGGGATGATGTGGGGGATAATGTCGGGGAAGATGGTGTTGAATGAAGTAAAGATACTCCAGTATTCGAAGAACTGGATAAAGTGTTTGTTTGAGGTGGGATACCCGAATGAACCGTTAACGACTACAAGAAAGAAAACTTTGTGAATGTGTGAATCTTCCTGCATGCAACCACGTTTAGCTTCTAATCAATAAAAGTAAAGCGCGAGGAATTAAACGTCTATACATCTTCTGATCAAATAATCTTTGGATCAATAGACTTTACTAGATTACTCTTCGACGCATTCTCCGCCGGTTGCTCCTCTCTACTCGCTGCTCTCTTCATACAGCCTTCTTTACTCGCCAACGTACCTTCTCTTCGTCTCCTCCGTTGTCCTCACAATATTCACATCTTGATGAATCAGAGACGTACGAGAACAATCTCCCATAACCGATCGTGCTTCGATGGAAGTTGTCACCGTAACCGGTTGGAGTTGACTGAGTTACGTACGAAGAATACCTTGACGTTTGATCAGTTGCTGGTCGTTCCCCGGTTGTTTTTGCGTTTGCTTCTGCTGCTTCTGCTGCGGCAATCGGACAGCATATTGTACAACACCCTTCGGACGGTAGGTAAACTGGCTGAGATGCAAAAGAAACACTAGCAACCTGACGAAACGTTGTGGGTTGGTTGGAAGTAATAACTTGTCTGCCAGCAGAGTTTTGAAAGTCCATCGTGGGTGAGTGTGAATTAGAAAATCGGTACTAAACTCTAGGCAGTTTATTATTCATTGCGTTTAGAAGAATTGTGAAAGAGCACCAAAATGCAACAAAAAGCGTTTGTGGGACATGACGTCACGGATCGGCAGTAGGATCGGCGGACAATTGAACAATGGTCAATAAAGTTTACGTGTTTAGAAAACTATTTGATCGCGAGCAAACGTATGATATCAGATTTTTACCAAAATTGGATCGAAGAGACGTGTGGGAAAATAGGAGTCATTGTGAATCTAGTGTGCACTTGGTTGTACTAAGAATAGTTCATATATATCAAAACAATTATGGGCTGAACTAATAGTCAAATATGTCACGATCCAAATTTAGTGGATATGAACAGTGTTTGATGCATATATTAATACTTTAAATTTCAAACGGCAATGTAAGGTTAATATATAAAGGCAACGATTCTACAGTAACCAATAAAATATAACCCATAAATGCATCCAATATTAATATTAATATTGTTGCATCATATGCACACTGTAACTATGAAAATTATGCATTAAACTAATAATGATTAATTATAGTAACATATAGATATCATCTGTTCCATTTAACAGAATTCTTTTCACTTTAAGATGGTTATCTACTGTATTCGATCTCGTTAGAATCAATCCATAATCCACTCCAAGCAGGATTCACTTGCTAAGTTTTTTTGTATTCCATCCACCGAACATCCATACCAATACACTACACAGAATTGCATAAAGCAATGTCTATAAAAAGCCATTTGTGGTCAGCTGAGCTGAATTTGTTAATGCTTTGAGTATAGCACAGGGAGTAATTACAACAAACAAAAATATAAGAAGTTCAATATAATCAAAAAAATCCAGATAATAATAATACAAGAATAAAACAGTCCAATGAGACGACGACTACTCATAACGTAATAAGTGTATTCAATAAATAAGAGTATGTCTATTTGAAATTTTATGTCAAATTGGGAATTGGATAATCTGTGAAGGAACGTATTTATTATTCATTATCGAGACGATAATAATGCATGTATATATACAGTATGTTAACCATAATGTATTATATACCCGATTTTGTGCTTCTCATATATCAAACGCTAATCGGTTCAGCAAAAAGAAGTGAGCTTGTTATTATTATAATTCGAACTTTCCGCTTGCTAATTTACTAGTAATAATACCGTTACTGATCGAAGGGCCATTTGGTCTTTTTCCCCTGCAACTTCTTGCGTATAATCATCATAGAATCAAATTCTGATAATAAGATTTATATTATGACAAGCTATTAGATTTCGGACAATGTTAATACTACGTATAGTAATAGGTACATATTGCAATTTACTTCAGTTCAATAGTTAAAGTTGTTAAATTACATCTATATTCATTATGAAAATCCGTTCGTTAGTAGAGTAGAGGAATATGATTTATGTCTGCGTTACACTCATCACATGAAGTTTCGCGAAATAACCCGATGAACCGCACATAGAATTTTTCATGGAAGTTTTCGATCACCAAAAAGAATCGGACTGCGTTTATTACTGCATATATCTTCCATTGCCGGATGTTCTCGACCAACAATTTGAATCTCTTCAAGAAAAACTGACCTTGATCTTGGGCGAAATACAACAATTTGTGGATGACTATATATGGCAGAAAGATCCATTTAGGCTGAAAGTAGTAAAGGATGAAAAAGGTTCGTGCTAGACAATTGAATGAACATTATTCGAAACGATCATTGAACAGATTTACTGCTTTACAGGGCTTTCGTATCCTTATTTGTATGGCAAGGCTCGCTTCGGAGACTGCATCTATGATGAGTGGTTTATCGTATTTCTCTTGATTCAAATATCAAAAAAATATGCAGATGCCGTAATAAGGTAACAATAACATATTCTTGGTCATATATCAAATGACTATGCTCACCCGATTATCTCGTGCCTTAAAGCGTATCCGACAATGATGGCGAATTTTTATTGATTGAATCTGCCATGTATCTTCCAAATTGGCTGGATTCTTCGACGAGCCAAAATAGAGTACGTGGAATATATATCATCATTATAATTGCTAGTCACGCTTGAATTTTTGATTTGATTTAAAGTATTTTTTAGGTTTTTATTTATCAAGGCAATTTACATATAATTCCTCTACCAAGGACGCCCGAGGAGAATGAATTACTGCCTAAAGATATCACGTTAGAAATGGCCATTTCGCGCATACGGGATGACCGAATAAATACACGAGCGGATAGCTTAATACAAGATGCAGCTTTTGCAAGAGCCTTAGAGTACGTTTCATTCGATTAAATACCATAATAGATTTGTTAGTCCAATCATAACTTACTGCATGCAACGTAATTTCAGGTTTCCGGATGTGAAATCCAGCAATATGCATTATGCTCGATGTCACGTACCAAAAGCCATCGCGCAAGTTCTTTGCAAAAAACCTCAACTCATCGCATTGGCAATTGAGGCGTTTTACACCCGTGATCCCATTGCATTGAGGGTATTTTGAGCCTGTGATTGCGAGATATAGAGAAATGTTTGTGAATAACCCATATTCAATTTACTTACCAAGGCCTGCTCCAGAATGGATAAATTTCCACCATCAACTTCAATCACAGTAACAGTCAAAATGACACGCACTTTATATGCTCAACTTTCAAGTCAAAAATTTCATCCACCAAAGCCATTTAAACTGCCGTCTCCTTCATCGTCGAACTTTAAATCAGCTGACCTCGGAATGAAAGTGGTAAGAAAGTTCGCTATGACATTTACCATTGTAGGTGATTATTGTCAACTTGAATTAATTTTGTTTGTAGGCATGTGGTTTCGAGATCTTGTGCACTGATAAATACTATACGAAAGTCAATTCAATGGCACGTACTACTGCGACCGTTGAGGTAACATTGATTCAAACGTACTAACAAGAAGAGTATTTAATCAAGTAATGGTGAAAACTAATGCATTCAATCTTCAGACTTATCCGTTCGAAAGTGATCCCTCATGGCAGAAATTCCACGCACGACTGGTTAATCTCGATTACTATCGCGGCGAGCTTCAAGGGTCCAAACTCTACAAAGAACTCGAGGCGACTGCAAAAGAACAATTTTTAAAGAATAAAACTGAATCAATTTCAAGGTTCAAATCTGATTCGTGTTTAGCTGGTCCCAATCGATTAGAATTCAAAATATTGATACCATATTAATCTCTACTAGCAAAGATGATTTTGAAGAAGAGTCAGCCCTAGAACAAATCGAACAAATATTGACGGAACCAGCGACTCCCGACAATGTTCTGACTGCTAACGTGCACGAAGATGATGATTCTTGGTTGTATGTTAACCCAAATCAACTGGATAGCATGTTAGATGCCAAATTCAGGAATGCGCAAGTAAGAATGGCCAGTTGTCTATAAGAATATTGCCTAATGGAGTCATAACTATGATAATGATCTAAACAGGCAACAGCTGAGGGGGATGAAGAAAATGGCGATGTCATGGATTTGGCAAGGATGGCTAAAGAATTCAGGAGATTTGTCCAATTTGAAGAAGCTGGTATTGAAGGAGCCGAATTTATTGAGTGAGTTTGCCGAGAGTGAATAATGAGAAACTGTAGGCGACAGTCTAACAAAACTTTGGTTGACTAGCGAGCATTCATCCGAAGCATCTGACGAAGATGAAGAGGACAAAGATGAGGAGGATGAGGATGAGACAGATAACGTCGAAACAGAAGCCGGCAATGTTAATTTAAACCCTGCAGAATTCTTTAATATAATGTGTCAAACATTGGGTATATAATGTATTTACTTACTCGCTTGTGCCTTCGTACAACTAATTACTTACAGATAATATGAATAGGCATTTCGGCGGAAGAATACGAATCATATAGGAAACCCAAAGCTGAATCCCAACCAATTCCCAGAACAAATCTGGAAACAGAACCTCTCCCTACTTCATTGGCACAGCCGCCCGAACCGACTTTGCCACCACAATCGACTTCGCCACCTGAGACACATTTACAAGAGTATATGGAAGCGATGGATCGCGAGTTGTACTCTACAAATGTCGCCGGGTCATTTGTGCGTGGCGCTGATGATGTGTTACATAATGAAGCAGGGAACGTACCGACTGAGGATGAGAATGAGTATAGACCTGTGGATATAGATCTGAACGTAGTGACGAATTTGCTTCAAAGTTTTAGGAGCCAAGAAGGATTACCAGGTCCAGCGAGTACTATTATGGGTAGACTGGGGATCAATATTGTACCAAATGATAGCGATGATGATGAAGACTTTGTCGAAATGGAGACATGAATAAAGAGCATTCAATACGGTTTACTTCCTTAATGTAAAACCATCTTGAGGGATAATTCGTATTGTTAATAGTGGTACGATAATACATGATAAGTCCGATTAAACAACCGTCGAGGAGAGCGAACGTTTAGCTTTTATATCTGATCCGGAAGAAAAGATTACAAAGCATGTGGTAGTTAAACCGGACTGCACACTGCCTTGGGAAATCGTTTGTGTTCTCGAAGCGAGTTAACGTGTCACTGAATCATTATACCCAGATATACACTACCTGGACGAGTCTTGCATTTCAAATATTAATATAATGTTGAACAAATGCGTGTATAACTTTCATGTTGTTTCATCAAAATATATACATAAAGTCAACAAGGTGAAATTATTGGCCGTTACAAAGTATCGAAATGCTCAGAGTTCGTAAAACAACTGTCACTCGTACTATTGATACGGAGATGACTTCGTCCGCAAAAAATTCTAAAAACTATTGTTAAAAACAATAACAAGAAATCAGTTGAAGTGATTAAAATATTTCTGTTGAAAAGTTTCCACAAAACTATTAGAAGAATTGTACACGCAGATTTTTTTTCTCGTATACCAGCTCGGAAACCTATCAGCAAAGAGAATAACGCCTGAAATGGTACGCTTAAAGGAGAGATTAGACTGTTCGAAAATGACAATCTCATATAAGCAGATTTACAATATTTAAAAAATCCAAGTCGCGTTTGGAGAACTCCCGGCACAAGATTTAATATTAATATACAAAATTTGGTCCCAACAGCAAGATTTGGAGGTGGAGGATTAATGACGGATTGGGGCTATTAGTAAAAGTAGATGGTAAAATGAATAGATTTGACTACAGAAAATACTCGAAAAGCAGATTTATTACAAAGGAAGAATTGATTGCAGTTGATAATACTCCAGTTCATACTGCTGAAGATGTTAAGAAACGGACAAGTTAGTTTTGCCAGATTAGCCAAGTCAGTCTCCTGGCTTGAACATTTATGGGCAGAGCTGGAAAGAAGAATAAGAAGCCGACCACAGGCAATAACAACGTTACAGAATTAGCGACAACATTACAGGAAGAATGAGGCAAGATTTCACAAATTCAGGTAATGGCCTTGATAAAAAGTATGCCTTGGGTGGTCACAGAATATTGATTGTATATGATTACTTCATTAGGTTGAGACATAACAATAGCTGTTAAAATTTGAAATGTAATTATTGTGGTACTTTAAATTTTTCAATTATTATTGCACAAGTAATAGTAATAGTAAATCAAATTTGCCTTATATTTTTTATATTAAGAGAGACTTGATTTAAATTTAAGTTTTTGTAAAGATGCTTACTTGTTACAACAAGTTTATTATCTCCTTTTCGGTTTTGTCGCGTCATTCCGAATTTGTTGTCAAATGCAGTAGCTGATAATCCTTGGCTTACATATACATGGTATCTGGCGCGCTATTAACTTTGGCAGCCTATTCGAGACCAGGGCGCACAACTCGCTCATAATATTTCTATTTATGGAGGAGAGCATCCAATGAGCCTGAACAACGTGGAGGCTTATCACTTGTGTGACGTTGAGTAGATTGTGTAGATTGTGTGTGACGACTTGATCGTTTATAGTTAGACATACTGTATGAATATCGACAGTAATAATACCTTAAAAGCAAATATGGATAAGAAATGGCTAGATAAAATATGTGAAGACGGAATAGTCAAGTGCTATACAGAAAGCGAAATGTCAGACCTTACGCTTTTCGATCATGGTGCGTTCGGAGTTGTGTACAAGGCACGGTTGAAGCACACTGGCATAACTGTTGCAATAAAGATGTTCTCTCCGAGGACATATGGCGGCAGTGAGCAAGAATTGTACAAGAAGTTTGTCAAGGAGGTTTGTGTTCTTGTTGTCACTGTTGTAATCACCAGTTGTCACTATTACTATCTGAGATCAAATTTGTGTAGTTGAAAACTCATAAGAAAGTGGATGACCATCCGAACATTATCCGATTTTTAGGATTATACAAAGTAAAAGGTCAGTATATCAAGGCGAGTTAATGTGATATTAAACTTTTATAGAATTACGACTTATTTCGTCTTAATATTAAACGTGAGTAGATACTTCCTACCATTATCACATGGTTTTTGAATTTGCTGAGGACGGAAATCTGCGTACACATCTAGCAAGTCATTTTGCTGATTTAACATGGAAAGAAAAGTACAAATTCGGTCTGGACATCGCAAATGGGTTAAGATACTTACATGTGCTTAATATCGTTCATAAAGATTTGGTAAGGTGTTATTATTATCCTTATATATGCGAATGAAGCAATGATTTGAATTATAATTTATTATCATAGTAATGTATGATATTATTTGTACAGTCTTCAGCAAACATTCTTATTCAAGGGAGTGTTGCTAAGATAACTGATTTTGGTTTGTCTAGCATGCCAAAACAGACTGTTTCTACATCAAAAGGTGAAGGCAGTGCAGCATATATTGACCCAGTTACTTTTCAAGATAAATCATATAGACGAGGGATAAAATCAGACATCTTTAGTCTCGGAGTAATATTATGGGAGATATCCAGTGGGAAAGGTCCATGTGAGGGAAGAGTTCAAAGTTGTGACATTGTTGTGTATAGAATGAAAGGCTTAAGAGATCCTCCTTCTCCAGAAACACCAAAAAAGTATGTTGAATTATATTCCAAATGTTGGGATAGTGATCCTAACAAAAGACCATCAAGTGAAGAAGTGTATAAGCAATTAAAGTCTTTGCATGATAAAGATTATTGTGAGCATCAAATGTTGAACTTGAGTTATCATTATTTGAGAGATACAGGAACAATAGTATTGGCAAAAGCTCTAGAATCAGGTTCTTGTACTTGCCTGACTTCTTTAAACCTCAGATATAATCAGATTGGAGATACAGGAGCAGCAGCTTTGGCAGAGGTTCTAGAATCAAATTCTTCACTGACTTCTTTGGATCTTAGTGCTAATAAAATTGGAGATACAGGAGCAGCAGCTTTGGCAAAAGCTCTAAAATCAAATTCTTTTCTGAAAATTTTTGAATTTACTGGTAATGAAATTGGAGATACAGGAGCAGCAGCTTTGGCAGAGGTTTTAGAATCAAATTTTTCTCTGACTTCTTTGGTTCTCAGAGATAATAACATCCGAGATACAGGAGTAGTAGCTTTGACAAAGGCTTTAATATTAACAGCAACTTCTCTGACTTCTTTGGATCTTAGTGCTAATAAAATTGGAGATACAGGAGCAGCAGCTTTGGCAAAGGCTCTAAAATCAAATTCTTCTCTGACTTATTTGTATCTCTTTAACAATCAGATTGGAAAGACAGGGGCAATAACTTTGGCAGAAGCTCTAGAATCAAATTCTTCTCTGACATATTTGGATCTTAGTGCTAATCAAATTAGTGATACTGGTGCAACAACTTTAGCAAAGGCTTTGAGATCAAATTCTTCTCTGACTTCTTTGAATCTCCATTACAATCAAATTGAAGATACAGGAGCAAAAGCTTTGGCAAAAGCTCTAGAATCAAATTCTTTTTTGACATTATTAAAGTTACATGATAATAACATTGGAGATACAGGAGCAAGAGCTTTTGCAAGGGCTCTAGAATCAAATTCCTCTTTGTCTTCTTTGGATCTTAGAGCTAATAATATTGGAGATGCAGGAGCAGTAGCCCTGGCAAAGGCTCTAGAATCAAATTCTTCACTGACTTCTTTAAATCTTAGAGCTAATAATATTGGAAAAATTAATATAGGAACAACAGCTTTGGTGAAGGCTCTAGAATCAAATTCCTCTCTGTCTTCTTTGGATCTTGGAGCTAATGATATTGGAAATGGAGGTGCAGCAGCTTTGGTAGAAGCTCTAAAATTAAATACTTCTTTGACTTCTTTGGATTTTGGTAAAAATCAAATTAGAGGAGCAGTAACTTTGGCAAGGGCTCTAGAGTCAAATTCTTCTCTGACTTCATTAAATCTCCATTACAATCAGATTGGAGATACAGGAGCAATAGCTTTAGCAAAAGCTTTAGAATCAAATTCTTCTCTGACTTCATTAAATCTCCATTACAATCAGATTGGACATACAGGAGCAATAGCTTTGGCAAAAACTCTAAAATCAAATTCTTCTCTGACTTCATTAAATCTTCGAGGTAATCATATTGGAGATGAAGGAACAGCAGCTTTGGCAAATGCTCTAAAATCAAATTCGTCTTTGACTTCTTTAAATCTCAGAGAGAATGGGATTGGGAAAAAAGAAACAGGAACAGCAGCTTTGGCAAATGCTCTACAATCAAATTCTTCTTTGACTTCTTTAAATCTCAGAGACAATGAGATTGGGAAAATAGAAACAGGAACAGTAATTTTAGTGAAGGCTCTAAAATTAAATTCCTCTTTGACTTCTTTAAATCTCAGATGTAATCAGATTGGAGAAGCTGGAGCAACAGCTTTGGCAAAAGCTCTAGAATCAAATTCTTCTCTGACTTTTTTGGATCTCTTTCACAATCAGATTGGAGATACAGGAGCAGCAGCTTTGGCAAAGGTCCTGGAATCAAATTCTTCTCTGACTTCATTGGATCTTGGATATAACCAGATTGGAGAAACAAGTACAGCTGCTTTGACAAAGGCTCTGGAAGCAAATTCTTCTCTGACTTCTTTAAATCTCAGAGGCAATCAGATTGTGCATAAAGGTGCAGCAGCTTTGGCAAAGGCACTGTTATCAAAATTTTTTAATATTGATAAGTTGTCATAAGAATTATGCATGTAAATACCTCTGTTAATATTAAGAGCTTTGAATTAGCTTTATATTTATTTATCTGATTCTTTTCTATGAATTAAATTGTAGATATGAAACAACAGTTGTGACACAAATAACAGTTGTAATGATACAGTTTTGAAATTTTGTTTTAAGTATTAGTATTAGCATACTAACACTGTTAAGTTTGGGTATAAAAATATGTAGCATTCAAATTATTGGCTAACAGATATAAAATATAAAAATGTGTCTGCTTCATTATCGACACATCATTGGCTTAGTCTCCGTTTTTTTACTTTTCTTCTGATTAACATCATCACTGCTAGAATATGTGAAATTTGAGCAGCTATATTAGAACTGCTTTTTGATATATAGAGCTTTTAGTTATAGGCTTTATCGAGAGATTAACTAACGAAATCTGGTATTTTGTATTAGCATTGGGTATTTCCATGAAATTTCCGCCATTATTATATATATCAAGTTTCACTCTAGCAAGCTAAATAAATAAAATATTGAGCTTTTGAGCTGATTAGCACGGTTTGCCTGTCTACAGATATAGATAAAGTGTTTAAGAACGTCACCAAAGTCTACTTTGACAGTCTCACTTCATCGTATGTCCAATTCCCTTTTTCTATTTCTCGTGCTTTTCCCTTTTATTTTCGTTCACCCGTCAATACCATTACGATGTTCGTTGTATTTAAGCTTGTTCAAGTATGCCAACTTGCATTTGTATAATTAATGGTTTATTAATCCGCAGATAAAATAATCAGTTGCCAAGTCAAATAATTATATCAGACAATGTCAGGTTACATATGCTCGCCAATAGAAATTTGATAAAGAGCTGCCCATCATGTTTGCTCTCCTTCACACCCACCTAACATTATTGACAATAGTGTTCACATTAGCATTAAACCACTCTCTGGGCGTAATTTTCATTACAAACATACTCTCTATCTGCCTATTAAAACTTTTTTTATACAGCCAACTTAAAGGCAAGAATATGATCCAGAGACACGAGATGAAACAAAGAAAACGCGTCCATTTGGAGTGAGCGAAGCGGGATAATTTGTTGTCATCGTAGACTTCGACCATATGATTACGCATAGGGAATGTTACTCGGACTTGATTATGGTAACCCTGTTGACGAATTGCGTAAGTTATGGCACGGGTTAGGGACGTATAATCCCAGACTACGACCTGAATATTGGAAAATGAAAAGGGAAGATAGTAATTTGATGAGTTTTAAATAAGACAAAGGCATAACATAACAAAACAATATGCCAATCCTCGTCTCGCACCTTTTTCATTTTAATCTCTTTCAATTTATTCTTGTGATCTATATATTCCTGCAGTAATTCCCTAAGATCTTTCGCTGGTTGACCTTTCTGACCACATACAGTTATCATTCCACGCGGTATTATATACTCCGTGAGATCTAATGTAAAGTGAAAATCTGTGACTTCTCGACTGTCATGTGTTGTATCCGTTCGCGTATGGCCGTTGGCGTCTGTGTGTGTGTGATAATGAACAGTCGTCTCTTCATGATAACCTTAATGCGAATAAAGCATACAGGGAGAGGATGATTTAAATAAACCGGATCAGTTAATACCACATCAGTCAATTATTCACATTTTCTCAGTTGATAAGCAATTAAAACAAAGCTCATAAATTTGACTTCGCGTACCATGAATCGTAATAGCCATTTCAGGCATATCGTTGTGTGCTAGAAAGAACCTATGCAAGCTCTCGATGTCCTTATTAATCTTTGAATCGTGACTCACAACTCCCTCATTAGATCTCTCGTAACTCGCATCCGACAAACTATACGCTGGCGGTGCCGAAAACTCGTCAGTCATTGCATTTTCTTGCCCATGTATATCTACAACTACGTTCGTATCCGTATAACTTGTTTTCGAATAATCTGTCTGTAGTAACGATTGATTTTCACCGTCATCCTCTGATGCGAGCGCTTCGTCATAGGATGGTAGCAATGGGCGGGCAGACGAAGATGCAAGGGTCGTCGTTTGGTCGTAAGACATTCTGATAATTGGAACTAGACATGGTGTTTAAGGTCAGAATGACAGAATTTAGGGAAACGGGTGAATAGAATAGAATGCAAGAATAGCAATCAATATATACATTGTCAACGTGTATAAAAAAGTAAGAATGTTTTCGTCGTCGATTAAGCTGCGCAAGTATCCAAAAAGTGTATTTATATGGTGAGTAAATATATGGCACATGACTAATCAACGTATCTGCATTTCACGTCGTATTTCCTATCACACGCTATGGTATATGTTCTCACGAAATAATATTCTAATCTAAACAATAACGATAACAATAGATTCACAATGGGCTGTTCGATTCTGTTCCAATTTGTGCCGATCCCTGATTGGCGGATTAAAATCACATGATGGGAACGGCAAATTTTGCAGTTCCCCACACAAGTTTTATTAATAAGCGTAAAAAAATAATGAAAGGTTACGTTGCGCAAAAGGGTTCTAATGCCTTTTAGAAATATATTTTAATATTTTTTTGCAAAGAATAACACTTGAAATCTTAGAGTGAAAAGAAAACAACGTAACGGGGAAACAAGCCTAATACTAATAACTTTGTTGTATTGAATGAGTATCATTCTCAATGAGTATATTAAACTCTCAGTGTTATATCTTTATACTATGAACGAATGGGCATGGGTGAAGTCTGCTTTCTTTTGTCCACACGTTTTGCTCAATTCTACACATACTCATTATTTCCTTAAACTGAAACTTCAATTAAGTGCGTTCTGCAACACTTTGTTGATTCTTATTATCCAACCATCCAAAGTGCTTACAATAATGTCATCCAATTCCGCGGTCAAGAAATCGCTGCTGAAATACCAGAATCTTTGAATCTCCACAGCTTTTCGATCGAAAGTTTGTCAAATAACCAAGGGTGTATTAGTATGTCTTATAAAATACACCACCATGTATCTAGCACGGAAATAAGTATCTTTGTCTTCGTTACCATGTATTATCACAATTGATCTTTAAATTCTTTAATTATCACAGGAACAATATAGTTATTAACTGCTTAGTATGGTCAGTGGCTGTAACGTTTATTATATACAAACCTAGGAAATACTAGTCGTGGCTTTTTTCTTTGGTGTAAACATTTATTGAGTTGGATCCCGCAGAATTTGCTATGAATAACGAGTGAATGGTTATAGGCAATATTATGCTTATGTGACAAGAGCAAATTAATCAAAACACAGGCGCAATTACAATTTATATAGTTATAAAATAATTTGAACATACTAAAATCATTCCACATAACATCAGCGATCTCCATCTTTTGTACCATTTTTATATATAATTTTTTCTGAGTAAAATACAAATGCAAGCAAACTGACACACTAGACAAATTTTTTCTGTATCTAAGCCTTTTCAACTTTTGATAAAATCTTTTGTTATAAACCAAAAGTTTATTCGTTAGCTCATTCGGCGTTGTTGAATTATTCGTAGCGCAAAAATTGGCTTCTAAATTAAAAAATTGAAGCAAACGACCTAACATTCTTGGTGAGTTGGACGTTACAACCAATAATAACAATTATACTGTGCTGACTTTGCTACTTGCACCCGGACGTGTACCGCATCACTGTAGAAGTGGCAATCTCAACAGTTTGAATGAACTGACGTAGATTACTTTTCAGCCAACGCACAGACCAACCTTGCCCAAGTCTATATTAACATTAAGATATTTACTCGTCAGCAAAACAAACCGCAACAATGCTGGCAATTCTCTAGTTACATAACAATCAGGTTCCAAATTCGGCACTAGCTGCTCAAAACGCGCCACCAAATACACTACTCGCGGTAACGTTGCCAAACACGACATCAAATATTGCCTTCTTTTGTTTGGAATGATATCATTTAATTATCAACGAGTAACGTTATCAACAATACTGGGTATACGAAATGATAGACCAAGCCCGTTATCGAACATGAATAGGATACACACGAAAATACTTTGTGTTAGTGACCTGATTGTTGAAGAATTTACTTGCTGTGAACGTTCGATATCTGCTCCGAAGAGTTGTCTGTGTTCAGGAGGCGGCTGTGGTAAATAGAATACATGGGACGTTGATGTGAAGTCATCGAACAAGCGGTCGTCCGGTCAGCGATTCTGATGATACTGTTACTCATTCATTTGTTACAAGTAGGCTTCTTGCACGCAACATGGGTCACGCGCGAAATCAATTTCGTCATTAATCGCCAATAGCCCATCAATCGAAAATCCAATGCTAATGAAATTCACATACCGTATACTTACTGTAAAAGACCCACTCTTAGCATAGATGAGGGTGCTTATTCACGGTAGTATATGGTATTTGTAGAGCTCGTGAGGTGCTTCAAGTTTTTCTGATATATTATTAACTACTTTTTTTTTATTCTCTTCGATAAGTCGAATGGTCATGTCCTGTCCGACTAACCAGAATTTATTGATTATATATAGCGGTTAATAACCTAAATGTAAATAGCTCTATATTGTCAGATATGAATATTTACAAATTGAGTTCTTTAAGGTAAGCTAATTTACGAGTTAGTTGTATAATACAACAATTAACTATATAAGCGCGTGGTTCTCGATAAGTCAACCATTAGAGAGCAGGTATCCTAGTCGACTTGTCGAATCTGTCGTATAGTCTAATGCAATCAAAACTCATGCCGATAAAATTTTGTTTACCCAAATAAGTCCTAGTATTATTGAGTGTAAATACCATATAATAAACTGCCGACGCAAATCTCGATGTAAGAAAGATGCTATATATAAAAAAACGTTTGGCTGGGACCCGGTTTTTATTGTAAACCTCATTTTTGCTAAAAATCTCTTGGTATTAGATATGTCAAAATTATAAAAAGTCTCTCTCTTATAAGAAGCATAACGCAAAAGACAATTAATTTCTTTAATTGTAGACATCACGTTCTCATATCACATCAGTGTTCTCTGTGATTGCTGATTATAATCTATTAGATAAGACTGTTTTATCGATCAAATTTTCGTATCAACTTTCTGATCACAACCAACAAGTGTCTTTTGTTGGTTTTTTTTCGCGTAAGACGGCGGAATACGTAAAATCTCAGTATCAAAAGACCTGGGCATATGTAACGATAATCATCGGGTTGATGTGACGGGATTTGCCGTTATCAAATCAGATCATAGCCTTCAATTTTTCAGATCTTTTGGGCGCTAATCTTAATTTCTACTACATCTCGATTGAGATTGGTCCGTGAAACAGCCCCATGCGGTTCCCGCGCCATAAATCTGCGATGGGCCCGTCATGCATTTATTTCCTCCGGAAAGGTAAAGATGATCACGGATTGACCCTCAAAACCTGCTTAGATAGGGGCCAATAACACTTGCAGCCCTCGCAAGAACAATAGAAAATATGTGAAGTACGATTTTGCTCACAAACAATGAGTAATGTGGACACTAACGAAATCGACTTATTTAGAAACTCTTATAACTTTCATACGGGTTGAAACTAAATCTGTTAGATTATTATTAATAACACGTATCAGCTGCTACGAATGAACTCGGCACCGTGAAAATATCTCGTGTTCTGATTGGATAATGTGAATTCACATGAAAAGGCATTAAACGTCTGCAGCTTTTGTTAGACACCAAATTAAGCCTTTAAAGAATGATAGCACAAACATTGTCTCGTTGATAAGTGTGATGCTTTCTTTTTATTTCGCTTAACTTATAACACAAGACTTGCTTGTGTATCTAATATATATGTATTAATATAGCTTATACAAGTTTTGAGTGATAATTGATGTTATATTTATATCAATTACAAATGCAATAATGTCTATTAATATTAAATGGTCAACACAAATTACAATTATGATTAATTAATTTGATATCTATAAACAGTCCTCGACCTGCGGAGACTTGCGGATGAAAATACGCGTATACCAAGCATTCGACAATCACGTATTGTTGTTTGTCACCGATTACGCAATTATCCTCTTCTCCTCACAGCCTTACAAACTCCATCTCTTCTCAACCTTGCGCCGCTGTAATTTAGCAAATTTCTGCGCCCCAATAACTATTTTGTGTCTCCACGCAGCCCAGTCTCTTTCTTTAGGTGGCCATTGCAGCGGCTCCTCATATGCCGGCAACTCTTTTAATAGCTGCGGATCGACAGCCAGCTCCGCAGCAATATCGTCGACCATACAGCTTTTCCGAATAGATTCTTGTTCTTTGTAATACCAGAAAATCATGTTATACTTGTATGCTAACTCGAATTCCTCGACATCTTGAAGGTAATGACGAACACGTTCTTGATGTTTAGTGGCCCAGAGAGTGCGAGTGGCAGGGGGAATGGTGCGGAACCGGAATTCAGCTTGAATGACATCGGAAATCCAATATATCTCATAAGTACCGATTGAGATGTATGGAAGGCAGGACAATACGCCTTTTGGAATCTTCCATTCATTTAAGAGACGATGTTTACTAAGTAGATTGTAGGACGATGAAAAAGTAAATGGTTAGATCATTCAACACTTTGAAAGAAATCCCTTTTGTTTCCCTACCCACCCCGTTTCCCCTCCTACCTTATCGTTCTCTCAAGTAAACATGATCTACACGCTCTAACTTTAAATGGCCAATACGCCTTGGACTCCCATTCTTTTTGCCCTCGACAGAACTGACACTTTGTCAACCAATAATGCAACAACATGTACTGTTGTTCACTCATGCCCTTTGGCGGTGGCCGGTGATCAAACAAGTCCGAGGATCTCAGTCGAGATGTGCGCCATATCTCTTGTGTGTAAGCAGACCTATTTGCACTGAGAAGAGCACGGAAATAACGGCAAACCCGAAGCAATGTGAAGAGGTCATCGGGTGTAAGATGTTCACAGATTGCAGCGAAAATCTCTGGCGGAATATCCGTGGTTATATTAAACTGTCGACGTCTTGGCGTTGAATTTTGGGCACCCATTGTTAATTACAGGCAAGGGGTTTATAGTTTGGACGACTGGTTGAGGAATTGATGAGCCGAATTTCCCAAATACCGGTTGATGAATGGAGTTTTGTGTTTTCTTTGTTGAATGGAAAAGAAAACTAGTTGATGGGTTGGGTAATAGGGGAAAAGAGTTACGGCGACTTAATGTCTTAAATATCCTCTCTCTCTACTTATATTCCGATATGCAGAATTACAAAGCAAAAGGAATGTAGGAGAATGCGTAATTTGTACTTGCTTTACGTTTGCATAACATGCAACCAGCGAATTATCAGGTAAGCAAAACGGTAAGGGGGGTAGGGAGAGAGAGAGGAGAGAGAGAGAGGAGGGAAAGGGAAGTGTTATCTGTTAGGGAAACGAAGATAGGGAAATGGAATGAGAAATGAGAGGGTAAAACAGGAAACAAAGGATATCATCGGGTTAATGGTTTATATCAATAACGTAAACAGTCGTCACTATAATAGGACGCTATTAATAACAAGACTTTGATATCCTCTCATTTTAATTACGCATGAATTAACTGCATTCTTAGTAATCATTGGTCCCCGTTTGTGCTTTACCGCAGCTAGATATCCGCAGCAACATGTGACCAAACATTCTACAAGAGGATATTAAAAAACAAGCAATAAACAAGGCACAAAGCACTCCTAATGAGGTGATCGGCTCACGTTATCTACTTACGTAGTAAATGCATTACATATGCACATTGCGTTATTTTACTCATCGATGTATGAAATACGATACTGAGTGAGAAGAGATGACGTTCAAGAGTATGTAGCCCATAAAACGTCACTCGCTTGTATCGTAGTATATACTACTTGTGTCGATAGGTTCGTCATCGTGACGCACGCAGCATACCTAATGTTTAGATATTATCGTCCAAATAGAAATAACAATACATTAGGTCTCATTTTTCTCGTTAACCTCATTTTATTGTTATTATATATCCGTCAATACTATCCAAATAGAGTTACCAGATTGACCAATAAAGCGAAGATAAAGCCCAATATAAGTTGCGGCTTTTATTTTGTACAATTTAACAAATATGATAAGAATGGACAACTAAGTATAATGAAACCGTCCAAGATATTATACTGCGGATATACGCCCCGTATTGTTCTGCCCAATATCGTCGACAGGGGTGGGGGTAATCTATCAGCAGAGGGTATATGAAAATAGAAACAGACGTAATATCGAATATGAATAGATTCGGCCATTCATGCCTCTTCAAGACTTATAGCTTTTTTACCAAGGCTTTTTGTGCGGTTTCAGCCCATTTTGATCATCCCATTTACCTCGGATCTCGTCGGAATTTCATTGCTAATAATGACGCAATACAATGTAGTATATTCACTGGGGGTAGGGGTCTCCTGTTCAAGCCGCAGTAATATGAGTCAACTAAGCGCAGTTCCGAAAACAGGTGACAACGCAGGTAAATAAATAAGACCCACTGACCCCCCCCAGAAAATTCCTCATTACAACTAGCTGGAACGGTTTATCGAGAACCATAAGTTTTCCTTTAAAAAACATTCGACATACGAGAAGACAAGAGAAACTTTTACCCCTCAAAAAAAATAAAGTAAGGAACAAATGTATCAAGGAAGCACAAGGAAGAGAAGCTGCGCAGACGAAGCTGAAAGTCAAATTCAAAATTTTCCAAGCAAACGACCCCACACTACACACGATACCATTTCCATTTCTTCGCCACCATTAACACCTCATCATGTCCGTTCTACTTCCCATACACCAAATTCCACATTCGGAGATATCCTCGTATATAACAAATTACCTACTCTCGTCCAGTCCCGCGCTCGTAAAGCAGCCCTTGTAGACAATTTGATCGATTTGGCCGTAGAAATAGTAGAAGAGATCTGGTCACCGTTCACCGTTAATCCGAACGTAAGGCTAGTGTCCTTGAAGACATTCATAAAAAAGCTGTTGCAAGGAATGCGAGTATCCTTTTCCACACTGCAGATCTGTTTGCTGTACCTCGTCCGTGTGCAACATTGCATATTCAAACGTGCACAGACATCAAGTCGTGGAGAATCCAAGAAAGATCCAACCATATGCGCACGCCGAATGTTCCTTGCCGCATTGATGACAGCTCACAAGTACACTCAAGACAAAAAATATCACATTAGAACCTGGAGTGACGTCTCGGGTCTTTCCGTTCAGGAGATCTGCGTGAACGAGCGATTGTTTTTAGAACTGCTAGATTATAAATTATTCGTAAACGATGAAGATTTTAAAAGATGGTGTGTCCTGCTATTGATCACTATTCAGAAGATTGCTGGCGAGGATATGGATAAGGCTAGCATCTGTCAAAGCGAAAAGGGAAAGCAAGTGATGATGGAGTTTAGAAGGGAGATAAGAGGGATGGTGGTTTAGAGCATTTTTCTGGCGATCAGGAAAAATCGGTTGACTGTCTAGTAATGATAAGCAAGATGAGTAGTGTAATTAAGAATATGAAAGAAAAAAAAAGTATCATTTCTTGCCATAATTGGTATAAGTTCAGCTTATATACACACGCATCATTAATTCACTTAATGTTCCCAGACTAATCGCTAGTTTAATCATCGTTTCTCTTCGTCTCCTTGTTTGCAAAGCTTCTTCTTCTTGTGTTTCCCATATGCGAATAGTGATTGATCTGTGTAACCACTAAGATACAATAAAATTAATAATGCATCATCTGTAGTACAATATCTTACTAATCAGCACGGGGGAAATTTGGTCAGCACTGATAAATTCGGCCGACAAGCTCGGGAATTTCGGATTAAAATATGAGCGATTAGCATGTCTATTATTAGTTGCCATTACATTCAATCATCAAAATTTAGATCACTACAATTTGTTGTATCATAGCACAATTGCACACATGTTAATAAACATCTTTATTAAATTCGTAATTATCAGTTTGTTGGGTGGATGTCAAAAACGTTCATGGGTCAGTCGTACTGATGTCGTATCTTTTTCTTTTGCACATGCAAGTGCAGAAAACGTATTGGTGCAAATTATGGCAAATTGTTATTATTATGGTTTTCAAAGAAGAAAAAGACAATTCGATAAATCGACCCTTGTTGTAAAAGTTAGCCGCAGCTGAACATAAATACTGGTAAACGTTTCGGTAACACACCAACATTCGATCTAAGACTAATGAGGAAAACTACCATTCGCGGAAACAGAAAGGGTTAAAAGTTGATCCCTTTGCTGAGCAAAATAGATTTCCGCGCGTATACTAAACAGTAAGTAACAATTAACACTTAAAATATGCTTTTTATAATCACGTGCAATTAATGTTGCTGCGCAAAGACGTAAAATCGGTAAAATGTTTGTCCGCATTACGAGTCGTGTCGTTGGCGTCGAATCATTGAACCGCGATAAACAATTGCGGTAAACAATGTCCGATTTGTTCTGCTGCGTTCAAACAATAGAAACATGTTTATTACAATAATACTGTGCCATATGATAACATCAAGGTGAAAAAGCTCCTCTCATTTGTCGCCGCTGCGGATTTTTTTTTCCTGTCTCTTAGCCCAAAGTGTAAAAGGGACTTTAGTGTCACATGTTTGACAATGCATGCGTAGATGCATATTTTATGTGTTGTATGCTCAATGACATGGTTTTGCTGCTACGGATATGACATAACATGATTACGATATGGTTCTTATAAGCGTTCTCGTATCTTTGCATAGTTATTACAACACAGTATTATACAGTATATTACACGTAGTAACAAACAATATTAATGTAAGTCAGTCATTTTCTATTGAGCACAAATAGACAAAAGATAAAAAAGAAAGAGCACAGTCTGTCGTCATCTAATTATGGGTCCCTGTTTCAACACAATTCTAGGAAATCCGAACATTCAAAGCTAAATAACACTAGCCATATAAATTTCTCTTTCCATGAAAAAATATATTGAGAAAACGTGATCGAATGCAAAGTTACTTTTGGATTATAGCGGGTCTTGTTCAATAAAGTGTCGAACATAAATTATACATCTACGCATTAAACGTGATAAAAACAATTTCTGGCAAGCTTGACAAAAAAAGTGAATACTATTCTGTCAAAGCTGATATAAGCAGACCGATTGTCTCTAAAGAAATTATTCAACAGTACGGTGAACCCCATAAGTGTAACACGCAAATCTGTATCTAAAGTTGATTGGTTTCATGTGATAAGAACGAGATCGATGCATCAAAAGTTGTCTCACTTTTAAAAGTCTTGATAGATGTATCGAAATTTTAATAAGGCATAGAGACAACGCTTTCTCCAACTAATTGTTAGGACTTGATGCTATTCTCAGCTTCCTCGTTATTGCCACAAACCCCAATAATTTACCTGATTATAACACAATTTTGTGAACATTACGGATGTGCTTTAGAGGGGAGATGTATATTATTATAAGAAAATAAAACGCAACTTTATAGTTTACGGAAGTTTATCGTTTATTTGATAGAACAAGATCATAATGAAAAGTGTGGCATTTACATAAACTACTGTAACAATTCGCTACTAGAAATTAGTTTACCCAATTGTTATTCAATGGTCTTTGGCGAGATTGTTGGCTATTTAAAATAATTACGATGCCGGTATTTCACAATTTTTTCGGATGCTGTTACGAGAAAAGAATGCTTCTTGCTGCACTTATATACTCATAGACGACTCTTCCTGCAGACTTTATAAGAAACTTTACAACGGAAAGAATCGAAATACGACATTGCATATTCTCTTACATCAGGACTCTGAATATATATACAGTGCTTTATTATTTCCACTATCTTACGTGGAAAATGTATTTCCAACCGCTCATTGTCGGGGTTGACAGAAAACAATATGTTGGAGTGTTGAAATCACTACAGTCCTTTCTTATCGATCGAATTAATAATATACAACAAACAACCAAATGGTCGATGACAGAATTGAAAAAGACGACACACGCGTTATTACTTCCTTATAATTATCTTTAATTTTAGTGTTAGGGCAAATTTGAACATGTCATAGTCCAAAAATAAACTTTCTATTTTTTTACAATCATACACAAATTTTCATATTCCTGGTTTTTCCTTGATAAGAACGTCCTATACAGTTTCGCTGCAATCGGTGTTATCTCAATATGACTATAATAATTTTAGGAGCAAATGTTTGTTTTTCTTGGAAGACGTTTGTTCAGCTGAAAATTTAACTGTGTGCAAAAGCCAACTATGTATTGAATGTATGCCTCAAGAAAATTTGTTTGTGCTGATTCTACACTAATTTGAGAGTTGTCTTCAAATTTATGACAGAGTCAATCAACGTTTAAATTCTCGCGTAAACGCATGCAAGATGCGGCATACAGTATACAGTTAACTGATAAAATGTTAGCACACGTCCGGGATGATACAGCGGTTTGCGTTTTATACTTCAACAACGTAATTACGTGGGAGTTAAAAGAGTTTGTTGTCGATTTTGTTCTAATGACAGTTATATTAGCATCTACGTAACAATTTTGCCAACTAAGGAAAACTTTTCATAGTCGGCTTTTGAGATAATGTCAACAATGCCTAAACAACTTTTACCAAATTTTCAACACTATTATAATTTTTTGCTTTAGTTTTCTACAATCGATCGTATGTCCAAAAAAATCGAATCCTCAAGTCGTAATAGCAAGGTCTATCAAGAAACAGCAATGTGATTCAAACAAGAAACAAGATTTAAATTATATGCATTTTGGGAAACATTGTCATATGTTACTTTTGAAGATATTAGTTATTGCTGATGAGTGTGGTGAAGCATTGCATAAAATCTGAACAAATTTTTTCCCTAAAATAGTACTATTTGAAAAAAATGCAGCCATTTCAGCGGCAGTAATCAAAGTGTCAGTATTTATAAGTCATCAACTTTGGTAACTTTTTTCTGACATCATTGGTTTGCAAAACGAGAGCCTTATCAAAGAATGCTATCATCTCTATCCTTTGAATCCGGCTTTAAATCGATGCAAAATATTGTGCTTGCATTGAGCAACTTATTGCAACTCCCCACTGTTTCTCCATAGACCAACTGATTGTTGAATCCAACCCTGGCGACAAGTAATTACGTCAAGAATAGTAATGTTTGATCAGTTAACCGCGCGTCATAATAATAAGAAGGAACCAAATGTAAGCACAATACTAGGTTATATAATAATAGATAATTTGATGAAAGAATAAAAAGACGACATTAAGCAATTTTGAGGTAAAAATATTACGTTGTTATTATACACCAAGAGCATTTGAACAATAAAGTAATTTCTCTTTTCTGTTGGCTTGACAACGCTACTAGTCATAGTATAGATTCTCCAACAAGTTCTTTCCCGAAATTGATGTGCGGGCAGGTGTTGTTCGATCCAAACGGTTGTCGAGTCACAATTAAAAATGTCAAATATGCGCACTTGTCCAAATAATTTAACCAGGCAGACAACATCAGCTTCCCTTTACCTCTTGTAAGATTTTAGACCTTTTCCTTATGTTTATTCTAACCAACAAATTTTTTAACTTACTCTCGAAATTGAACCAAGTATCGCTCACCAGTGATGGGATTAATACCAAGCTGAAAGTTTTTTCGAGGTTTTTTTTTTTTCAAATACGCGGCGTCCGTTTTCAATAAATTTGCCGTATTATCGTTATTTTATGCATGTCTGCTTATTATGGGAAAGATTACCCGAATTATAACAAACTTTAACCCTTTAACAAAAATACTAGGTAAAAAAATTTGATGCCCTCGCTACAGTCAAAACTGTATTTATTTACTAGATACAAAACCATCTGCTTACAGTCGTAACCGTATGTATACAAAGCTTACCATTAATAGAAAACTAATTAAGTAAACTCGCCCAAACTTGTATCAGGTTAAAACGTTTCTCCGATAAAAAAATCTCCCCACCAGTTATCATAAATTGGTCCATGCTTCTGAATGGAATTTTAAAGTCGGACGCCTCGAGCAACGGTAGTTTGTAATCCCGTCTGGTAAAAGCGTAAGAACCAAAGCTCTTGGCTGATTACCTCATTTAAAGAGAATCACTATCGATGCTAGTAAATTCGCCGTTGTTTCTCCGGACCGATTGTGCTGGAACAGGAAATTTGATATACGGGTTGAATAAGTTCCGTCAGCGAAAGGTTTTTTCGGTAAATATTTGTCTATTTGGAAAAAATAAACTTTACGGCATAAGCTTACAGCCAGTAGTCGTACACAGTAAGCTGTGGCTGTGTCTTACGAAGCAAAAGTGCTATCAATTATTTCAGGGGAATTATGTACGACCTGTTTATCTACTGTTTGTTACCCACCACCACCACCATCACTAATAATAAAACGATAATAACGACAACGACAGGAATAAACCTTAAACTTTATCTTATCGTATAGTAACCCGAACGATTCGTATGGAAGAAAACTTGTGATTGTTTATATTATCTATGATATTGTTCTTTAAATTACAAAATGACATGAATGTAAAGTAATAGGTGAATGCAAAAGCTCAACAACAATAACACAGTAATAAGAATAGCAAAAAATAGTAAGAGAATATAAAAACTACAATAAATATTGATAAAATAGTAATTATAAATATCACAATAGTTCCAATGATAATAGAAAATACAAATCGATATGTTGATAGGTAATGATTGTTATTGTCGTATAACCATTACACTAACTTCGTTTTACATTCAAACCTAATCACTGTTGTAAATATACTTTTGGAAAAAACTGTACAAGGTATTAAGACTACCTTTGATGCAAAATGAATATCAATACAATGTTTTACCATGATATTAGCTAAAAAAAAAAGATATCCAATAAAAATAAATAAATACACAAAGTTCAACTTTGTCAGTTAGCTACCCAATCTAAAAATATCCTTTCCTTACCTCCCTCGGTTTTCCCCATGTCCCTTTCCACCCCCCCCCCTTCTTCTCTTTACCATCCGCCATTATTTCCTTCCTCATGACTATCACCGCCATCTTGTGACGGTACAATCTCAACGTTGTCTGTGATTTGCGATTGTCCCGCTGAACGGGAAAACGCATCCTGAAAATTCTGAGAATATGATGTGTGGAAGATAGAAGGCGAGGACATTGCCAGGGGTGAGAATTGGTTTGTACTCGGTGGTAATATGTCATATACTATACTTGTTAGCGCTGTGCTTGGAGAAGACTGGGGTTGCATGTTGGGTGCTTCGGTGGAAGTATTGTACTGACTGAACACGGGGTGGTATGAGGGATTAAAAAATTGTTCTTGACGAATTGATGATGTATCATCGAATCTTTGTATGGGGGACAGGACAGGTGGAGGGGGGTGTTGATTACCTGGTTCAACGTTCTCTGTCAATTCTATTTGCGTGTCAAGGTCGGGTACCTTTGGTCTTTGTTTTTTTCGTGGTTTAGGTTTATGGTCAAGACCACGTTTTGGAGCCCTTTTCGGTTCATTCGGTTTTGTAGCACTAACCGCTGCTGAAGCTTCATTTGTATCACAAACGACAGTCTCATTATTTTTTTTATGTGTTTCTATTATACGTTTAATAGACTCCCAAATTTCTTGTCTCTCTTGTTCGTCCGTAGTTAGTATTAATTGTCTCAAGCTTCCAGATATTTGTAAATAAGCTGTTTCTACCGACAGCAATGTCTTGTGACTTTTTGTAAATTCATGCCATAATGATCTTAGCAGTTCAACTTGTTCACTCGTAGTATTACGATCTACAAACAACAAGAATAAATCTTCCTCAAGTCGTTTTATTAACCTCTGAAGACGCATTGTATGAACTACTTCGAGCACAGTGCTAGTTGCTTCTCGCAATTTGTTTTCCAAGTTGCAAACTCTTTCATTAAGACTTTCTGTTGTCAATAATCCTTTCGACTTGCGCCCAGGCTCTGGGAATGTACACTCCTCATTACGTTTTGTACAGTTTGTACAAGCTTTTCCTGTCTTATAATCTCCATTGCAATTCTTCTTGTCTTTTTTGCATTTGTGGCATGCATTTTCGCATATCTTGCGTTTTTTCGTGTTAGATCTAACCGATTGTGAGCGTGAGTTACTGTCCGAGTCTGTGTTGTCTACTGTCCTTTGTTCTTGTTGTTGCGGTTGTTGCGGTTGTTGCGGTTGCAGTTGTTGCTGTTCTTGATGTCGTCGCTGTTGCTGCTCTTGTTGTTGTCGTTGTTGCTGCTCTTGTTGTTGTCGTTGTTGTTGTTGCTGCTGTTGTTGCTGCTGCTGCTGCTGCTGTAACTGTATTTGTTGCATTTGACGCTGCTGTAGTTGTTGTTGTTGTCCTATTAGCATTTGCTGTCGTTGTGGTGGTTGTGTTAGCGGTTGTGACGGTTGTTGTCGCCTGGGTCGTTGTGACATTGTGAAGAAGTCTGTGCTGTTTAACTTTGTTTTTTAAATACCGACTGGATAATTATATATTTAACGGATCAAATCAATGATTCATAACTTTAAAAACAGTACATAATTTATTTATATTGAATATTATACATCGTAAGGTAATACAAAGCATTGATACAATTATACAAACCAAACTAGTCCAAATCAGGTTTTTCCCTCGGCTCTTAGCAATAAATGGGTTATGTATTAAAAAGAGAGAGAAATAAACAAGAGTTTGGCAAAAAGCTGCGGAAACAGCGAATATGCTTCGCATAATCTAACTATATTCATAATCAATGATAAACTGCATAGCACTCATTCAATTGTGGGTACTTATCAGGAACAAAAAAGAAAGCATCTCTGCGTATATAATATCAAAAGCGGTATTGATTATTTCATTGAAAATTTGTAATTGCGTTGGTCTTGGTCACGGTCAGGATTTTGATCGGGTGAGCTATGAAAGACGCATACACTCGTAACGGTCGATAACTCCCTCTCTTTGGTTGGTGCAAAGTTGATATTTTAACCCCTTTAGGCGTAGTCTTATTTCCACAGTTTGTATGAAAGTGGTGCGTTCCATGTTCTAAAGCCCCTTTCCTCCAAAACTTCTCATCCCTGGTAACAACAACAACACTTGATCTATTTCCAGACTGTACTCTTATTTCCTCAAATAACCTTATAAACCACTCTTCTCTTCATTCACTTATTTCAAAACGGCCGATGTCTAACATTGCTAAGCATTTACACACACAGTGGATGGGATAAGTTAGGTAATCGGTTCATTATAATTATTAATACTGTTATTGTTAATCTGTTAATATTGTGTTAGTATTATTCACGTGGAATGATGCATAGTCTCTTGTATATGTAAATATGCGTATCAGTACCATATAGACACAATAGGAGTACTACCTATAATTTGCCCCTCTCCTCTCTCTTAATCTTTCGCCCCCCCCAAATAATCATTGTGTTCATTATTATTATGAAACTAGTTTTTTACTTGAAAATAAGCAAGATATATAATTAGATTGATTAGCAATAAGGCAGATCCCCAAATATCAGCGCAAGATTTGAATTATTAATATCTATTCGACTATACACACAATCATTTATCTCTTATTTATCATTTTTAGGTATTATTCAAATGTTTGTGTTGTGAACATTTTAGGTTAAATTGAGAAGATCGACGGGATAAACCCAAATGCAAAATAGATCGAATAAGAACATTGACCCATTGCTGGATGCAGATAATCGTCACAAACATTAACATGCAAGGGAAATAAGAAATTTATCCTAACATCAACTTGTATTGTCACTGTTTCGCAAAAACTGCGGACAATAAAACAACGAATACCTCTCACAGATAAACTCACCGGACAGTGACTCCGTATGCAATTGACTTCCAAACCGTCCCATATCTTTCTCTCTTTGTACCTCTCTCTCGGGTATTAACTTTCCCAAAGGTAATATTTATTCGCCATTTTTTGACAGGGGTGTAATGTAATACAAGGTTTTGTCTCGGTTTGGTTTATAAATAACAACGAATCCCATCAGTAAGGAGTCACATGCGGCGCATGAGATCATACTCATCTACTCAACCCCCCAGGTATGCCCCCCCCTCCTTGTTCGTTTAGAAACTTATTTGCCCATCCACTTTAGTAGAATTGACAATTTTCGTTCTACCATGACTTCCTAATATCGTACATCTATACATATTAATATCCCTTAAAGTCTAATTTCGCCTCTGTTATCATTTACTAAACTTACTAATCAGGTCTCCATTCGAAATAGAGTTTATATGCCGTACGCCATAGTTGATTAGTGATGCTGATGCAAAATGTCGACACGGCAGATAGCATTGTTCCTCGCAACTGATTATATATAACAATATTACCTTTAAGAAACGCCAGAGTCTTCTTAACGGTACATCGAAGGTTTCGTTCATCGAATGTTTACGTTCGACCATCGAGAGATGCATTATAACCGCTGATTGTACGCCCGTTATGATCTGGCCTGTTTCCTCTCAATTCGCGCCATTATGGTGGCCCACTTTAAGAATTATAATGTGTCACTAACAAGAGAGGGAAATGTCATTTGCAGACAGATCATGAAACCATTTCTACTCCTCCTCCTCCTCTTCTTCTTCTCGCCCATATGAATAACCGAGACAAATGATGTAATAGTGCTTACATGTATCAACTGGCGAGAGTGAGTAATTTAGTTAATTTTTTTTTGTCTCTATTCATTTAAGCAATTAATTAATTTAATCAACTTGACATGGTAATCAAGGTTGACACTGTGAATGCGATAGGGATAAACTAAAGCCATTGTAGTGTATAGTTAACAATATTAGTAGATAGTCTAAACATAATTAGACTTGCGACTTTATCCACAATCTGTCCATCACATCAGCCCGCGATCAACACAAATGTCTCCTAATGCCCCTGGCCTACCCAAACATTCCTGTCAAGCATAACAAGTTTTCGTACCAACTTTATCGGCATCCTTTATCCCGATTATTCTCGAACACGATAAGCAGGAATATGTCCTATGATGGTTGTGAGCGAAGGGGGGGAGAGGATGATGGATTGACATATCGGATAAAATGATTGGGAATAGGGTTAGTCATATTTACATAATTGAACAAGTCGAGCGGATCGGTCAGGACAAGGAACGGCATGTGGACGGGTATCGCGATAAAAATAAATTCGATCTGCAAAGGTCGGTTAAAGTAGGTTTTTGACTCGATCATTGTGTATGTATGCGATGGGCTGGGGAAGAAAGATGAATTAAAGATGAAGAGAGAGATGCATATCTGTTACTGGTTTTATTGATAAGAATGTAAATAGACTTTTATAGAGAATAACGGACGAGTGCGGGTTCTGGGAGACATTATTTAGTATGAGTGATGGCGAAGGCTATAGTCAAAAGCAGACGGTTTACGCTTATAAACATCGTTTCTATAATATAGCTAGTAGAAAGCAGGAAAGAGTACGAACATACTTTAATTTTGCAACCGACATCATATGCAATCAATTATGCATAATGGGTGATGACTGTTTTGTCGCCGTTAACAGAGTTATTGATAAACTGATGCAAAAAATTCAGACATGCATCTGCTAACTGGCAACACTATTGCAGAATGACATCTGTCAATGTCAAAAATTCTACCACATCAATGGTAAAATCTCTCCATTTACCGCTGATGCTTGAAAGCATTATCAGCGGATAGAGAAATCTTCATCAGGGAATTGAACGGACTAAATTTACTATTTAATATTGAATTATTCTAATCAGTAATAACTATCGGTGACGAATGGTGATTTTACAACCAGCTTACTGTCGTTCAACTCAATTAATTCACTGACAGAATATACGTCCAAAGACGGCTGATAACTCTATCGCGTTCATGTACGTAACAGTTTTTTTGATAACAGAACATGCAACAAGAAAAAAAGTGACAAAGGTTGATACGCCATAAAATGTTGCTTTGCAATGGAAGTGAGAAGGCAATTAGTTCTGCGTTGTCTATTTTACTGTAATTTATCTTTATGAGATTAACGCATATCTGAAATGAAAGTATTAAGATCCGGGCTTGGCGCTTGATAGTATCAAGATAAAGTATTATTTTCGTTCATGAAGAATTTTGTAAGAGATAAACAATTTGTTTGCTATAAAATTTATGAACAAAGTACGTTGAAAATAGCGATAATTTTTCACATTACATGATAACGAGATTGATTTCTTAATAGTTTATAACGTAAACATTGCCCAAAGAATGCAAGATAAAAGTAACCTGCTTACCCAGCATAGGAACGGGCAAGCAAAAGAAAAAATAGTAAGGTGTTTTTAAAAAAATTTCAAACCAGACCAAATAAATGTTTCGCGATAGAGTTATTTTAGGAATAGGAAAGGAAGCAACCGCTCCTGCATCTGCATCGACTCTACATCATCAAGAATTCGTTCTCTTGTCACAGATCAGTGACCAATTAGATCGTTCTGACGCATTGGCGTAAATTTTATTCCTTACGTTTTTCTTCAATTACGCGATTCCAGGAAAATGAAAAAACATTTTCATTTCTTTACATTCGAGCATTACGCAGAGTTGATCTTACTCTGCGCGTAAAAATGGACATTTAACAAAGTGAAAGTAAAAATGATATCCACTTTTAAAAATTAAGGAACGAGTAATTTCAACAACAACTACCGTGTACCGGGTATATGAGTTTACGATACTGTATTTGTATCACATCGAACTCTGAACTTACGGGTAAATAACGTGAATATTTGTAACTGTATATCAAACAATTCATATAATTCAGAGACTCAAGAGCAATCCTTCGCTCGTGGATGAGAACGTGTTGTTTATGATCCGTGAAAAAAAAAGCATCAATATTTTATTCCCTAGTTAACGTAAAAACGTGCTTGTCAAAAGTCATATTTCAATGTGACATCAGTTCTGGAAGAAATACACATTTGTTATGGTGCATATTAATATTGAGCACAAGGAACGTGTGCATAATAGTGTCATCGCGTCATTCGAAATTAGTGCTGATCATTTACACAAGAAATCGACATGTATGTCAACAAGTTGGTTAAAAAGCATTGATAGAATGGACAACTAGTAAGCTCGGAAGATATATAAACAGCGTAGATTTCGGCTAGTTTAGTGGTTTAGTGTGTTCGAGAGTTAGTTCCTTTATTTTCTAATAAATATAATTCTTTATCATACTCTGAAATACATAATGGTAGATTATCAGTATACCTGTAAAACTGTTATCTAATAAGAATAATTGTCTCTTGTGTTTATTCGTGCCGATGCGTATTGATACAATTATAAGCATACCCCCAACCACTACGGTAGAGAACAGAGGACAGGTTAACCAATGTCTACATGTCTACGCATCGATACTTAAAAAAAGTCTAGCGTTAAAAGTACTGTTTATTTTATTCCGCTCGAGGCTTGCACTAGAATCAATAATCAATCGCTCTTCCGTGATTGTTAACTCGACATTATGAACGGTCGGATTTCATTTATCGATATTTAGATTTTGTTTACGACAAGAGTTAAAAACCGATTTCTGACTTCAAATCAATAGTCGACAAACGTTTGCGAGTGCACGTTTATTAATTTTTAATTCCGTAGTTAATTACAATTAATGATCCAATATAATAATATGAAAAAGAAATAAGGTTCGGACTTGGATTTCGGTAGAGCTGCGAAATGATCATCATCCCGAACTACTCTATCTCAGTACTTCAGGAATCACCTGATATCAGATCGCCGTCACCCCCTCTTCAAAAGCGTTGAGCCGTTCTTGAAAGAGTTCAAACCGTGCCTATCAGTTCGCTCCTCGGCTCTTCCGCTCCCAGCTCTAGACTACACTCCAAGTCCTCTACCCTATATAATTACGAGAAAGCTAATTTAATAGTAAAAGCCACATGAATCAAAATCTATGTCTATGTTACTACTTCCACCCCTCAACAACATCTAATATTGGCACAACCTCAGCAGCCGTCTCTTCATCCATTAACTGCTTCTCTTCTTAACCGTGTCGCTGTTGGAATACTCGTTCGTAAGTTGCAGTAAACCTCGTGGGCGCGTAATATGGTGTAGCGTAACGGTCGGTTTGTTGTATTCACGCTTTATGAAGTGGCGTAACGAGTTTTTGTTGTATTCACGCTTTGGAAATGTAAGCGACCGCACGTGCAGTAGAGAGAAGCATCCGGACGTATGTATACGTATGAATATAAAAGTGTTTGGACTCTTTCACCGGTTAGTGGTCGATGAACTGTATCATTAAAGGACTTGTTCGTGAACTGCCGTATGCGCGTAATATGGAGCAGTTGCAAAGAATTGTTTGTTGTGTATTGAACACGGTAGTTGTGCTTTGGAGGAGGGGAAGCGATATGATCAGAGTATATAATGAGTAGAGACCCTGTTGTCGTTTTTGAGTCTTAATTTGATGACTTGTTCGTAGAGATTGTTCGTGTGTTATGTGGCGACAGAGATTGTTCGTTTAACTTCTTCGTACGCGGATTGACGGCTCGTTGTATAGCAGTATAGTAGATATCGTTGTGTTGAGAAGAAGGGGTGTATTTATGTATGAATAGACGCGCGCCAGATGACGCATGTTTGTACTTGATATTAACCTTATAAGTATAAATGTTGTTACCTATCGCTATGCGACAAGGAGTGTGAGAGTCTGAGCTGTCAACCATAAACGGGTATTGATATTGCTTAGTGTAACAGATCATGACATCTGTCACAATAGCATCAGTGTGACATTCCGGAATACACGCAGTAAAAAATTTTCACTGGTTAAAAATTTGCAATTGTCACTTTAAAATTATACGCGTGGGGCTTATCGGCAGTAATTAATCTGAATCAATAAAAGAACAATAGCAATGCAAGCTCTCCTCTTTTTATACTAATAATAATATCAATTACTATTAATACTATTTCAGATAATATGTTTCGGAAGCCACGATTGTTGTAAAAAAAGGAGTTACCTGGCTTTGCTTAAGCGGTTGTAGTTTCGCTAGCTAGAAGCATAGTCGATCGAAAATCGATCTATTATTATTTCCGATCATTAAAATAGTTTACAATCCATCAGTTTGATAATAGAATGTCGAATGCATTATCATTTGTTCTAGATTATATGAACGTGACGTACACTTTTCCTTATGACGTAATATTTTGAGACGCATTTTATTGATAATATCATGATCGTAGTGCCGCTTGGAACAAGACGCCAAAAGAAATACCATCACTGAGAAATGTCGGAACGCACTGGAAAAATCAGCGATTATTTTTATGCCAAGAGAAAGTATGTTGTGTTCTGCAGCTTCTATTTTATGACCAGAAGGTACTGATGCGAGCAAGACGTCCATAAAACGTTTGAGTTTTGGGCAACAATGACGTTTTTGAATTAGAGGATTTATCGTCTCTTGGTGCTTGATCGGGAGAATACAGGTATATGCTGCAACTCAAATGAAAACTGACGAAGCAAAATAATTGTGTTGGTAAGCATTTTGAAAAAATATCGTCAAAATTGAAATCTGACATTGGAATCTGGCATCCGTAAAATCAATATTCAGCCTGAGAGGTGAGTGTATGGCTAAGGAAATGAAATAGAACTACCTCCTTGATTGTTTGAAGCTGAAAATAGTTCTACGTGCACAGATGAATAAAACAGAGGTGTGGAGTAAATATACTTGAGATTCAAACCCTTTGTCAATGTTTGTCTCAGTGAACATTACTGGTTTAGCATGATAACATCAAACGACTGTCCAAAACGTATTAGTAAATGAGTTGATTTTTGATTACGATTCTGAGCATATTATTAATCAAATTGTCAAAAAATAAATAAAGAAATCGAAGATAATATTCGAGAACGACAATGAATTGTAATAATGTGTGCACTGACCATTATTTAAAAAGTTTAATTTTAAGATTTGATGTTCTGCTGGTAATACTAATACGTAAAATTCGTAAGCGTAGTTACGACCGAAACGTCAAGTAATTAATTTCGTGTTTCCAGCACTGCTATTCTGACGTGTTAATTCTAAACCTTATGTTATGCGAACATGACGTCCACACTGTGACGTAATTTCGCTTACTTTTTTGTAGCAACAGTATTCATAGAAAATTCACTCGGAAAAACGCATTTGTTGCTTGCCAGCACTATAAATTGTTCGTTTTCATTAATCAATACGACTGACGTTGTAATAACAAATAGCAAAGTTTTTTTTATTATTGCTGTGAATCGCAGCATACTCGTTACAATAAAGTCAACCTATCTTCTATTTATTGATCAAACCAGCTCAATAAATAGTTGAATCTATTTCTAAGCAAAGCAGAACAGTTACTTCCCCACTTCTCCCCATTACAAAGTAATCGAGAACCCATTTTAACAAGCCACCAAAAGACAACCCATAATCATACAACGTATTTACAGAATGCATTAGCAAGGATACTATAAAGACAAATGGATATTTCACATGGGGATGGGAAAGTAACACAACATCCAATACTATTACTATACTTGGTTTAAAAAAAAAGGATGATGTAATTTATCGAGTCTAAATTCGAATATTAAAGAGTTAACTTTTGGTAATAACCAAGCAGACAAAACGCGCGAAATTAGTAGTCCAGGCACGTTTAATATCAAGTTTATAAGACACTAATAACGTTCATATAAAAGTTTTTCGCTTCCAAGTATAGCAGTACCACACATTTTGTCTACAACTTCTCAATCTCAATCTCATCTGGATCCTTCGCGGTCGAGAAACTCGAGGTACTTGTCCGGAATGGTGAAGACAAAAAGGACGAGAATGACGGCGCCAACGTGTCTGAATATTGACCGATAGAGGATGAATAACTAGCACACGCATCGACACAGTCGAGATTATCGTATACACTTGAGTAATCTTTGTTATCGTCTTCATTATCGCTATACATCTCGATAATCTTGTGTTGAGGCTCAGGCTCGGGCGTCCTTGAAACAGTAACTTGTATAAACGATGCTTCGCTTTTTCTCTCTTTCTTTTTCAAAAACCATTTGCCCTTGTTCTTCTTCTTCTTTGCCAATGGAACTGCCGAAATTATCGTCTGCGTAGAAAATACTGTGGGAGATGCGGCTGCGTTTGGTGGCGTGTAAGTATTCTGACTGATACTACCCTGTTGATACTGTTGGGAAATGTCTTTTCCGGAATTTACGCCATTACTGCCTATCTCGGTTCTTTGATGGTCTGAACCACCAATGAGAAAGGTTCTAACAAACCAAACCATGAATTTACTTCTATTCTCTCGTCGTTCTATTTCGACCTTTGTTAATCTTTGTTCCAACTTTGTCATTCCCGCAGGATTAAACGATAGCCTCATGTTCTCGCTCTTGAAATCTTTGAGTTCTCCGCGCATAGCATTTATGTATGATGCACGGTGAGTTGACGATAATTTGCTTGAATTAATAGATGAGGCTACCATGGTAGGCGAGAATGCTGTCAGCGGGGATAATGGCGACATTGGGGGAGAGAATGGTGAGCTGGGGCCGTATTTCGAAATGAGATCCTTTTTGATTTTGCGTAGTGCGTTGTGGATCGCTGGGTCAAAGAGGAAAGCGAGGCAATTGAAAAAGCCTAGAATATAAAAAAGGAGGGAGAGAGAGATATGAAGGTGGGGGGTGAAGAGACACAGTCGGTAAGTCAAGTTTAAACCATCCCAATATCAAACTTTTTAGTTATCTCTTAATATCGATTCTTTTCTTAATCGACCATTCCGACTAATTCTTTGCAAGACTTACCAGGTAAAGAACTGCCAACATCACTCCAGACAATAATCCCGAATGGTGTCTCTGGCGCAACGACGTCAAACATATAAGTCACCACAATTCCTCCAACCGTAATTAGAGGTACAACGGCGTACAGTGTAATGCGACTGACTAGCTTTAACACCAGTAACTCCTTTTGTCTTTCTTTTTCACTCCTTCTTGACGAAGTTCCACCTCCAATTGACGCTATCTTTTTGTTAACAAACTTGATTTTGAAGACAATGATAGATAATATTACAGTGCAGTATATCATTGTGAGAGCGCAAGGGAGTATGAAGGTAAAGAGCTTCCAGTAGAGCATTTCTTTTGTTGAGAACGCGTCTGTGCGGTAGAAGCAAGAACTGCTAGAGGACTCATAGCCGAAGACGTGGAAAATGGCAGGTGGAAGATTTATAATAAAGGCAATGAATATGGCAACTGGAATATACCATTTGTCAGAAAAAGAAGCAACTTTACGTCTGTGGAGGAACACGAGCTATAATGAGATGGGGAGGGGTTAGTAATGACGTAATACGAATGTAATAAATAATAAATAATAAATAATAAATACACGCATTTCTATTTATTTCCCTCTCCCACACTTTTTCCCATTTTTTTTCAATGCCTACCTGTAAATTGAATGCAATCATTACAGTTAAAAATAAATAACATTGGGGTAAAAATGACAATGTCCATCCGAGAATCATACATCCAATGTTATCTTCTCCTGGCACTTGCGTATACACGATAACCGAGATGGCAGCCAAAATATCGATAAATGATATCACAGCGGTCAGCCTGAGCGACACTCTGTTAACCAACTTCCTGTCGTATAGCCATATTGATATCATAACGATCAAGACTGTTAATCCTCCGACGATGCTGACTACGCTGAGCCAATTGTTCAAGTTATAAACAACATTTGCTTGGTAGTCCAATTCATCATAATTGGAGGGATAAAAGGAATCATTGGAAAACGGAGGAGAGTAAGAGGAAGAAGGGTCGGAATTGCCAGTGGAAGGATCGAAGCTGCCGCCGCCGCCGCTCTGGTCTGACGAAGGGTCGTCACCGGTTGGTATGAATGAAGTATCATTTACAGCACGAATTATTTTGTGAATAGACATTGTTGGATAAAATTTTTAAAGAGAACTTGATAACGTAGAGAGCAAAGATAAAATAATGTAATAAAATAAAAAAAGAATGACAAGAGATCAAACAACTCGTCGTGAGGCGGAATACATTCGAGTGTATTAATTTATAAGTTTAATCACTGAACGGCGTCACGCCAATGAGAGGGTGAGCAAATGAAGGAAAAGGATGGAATTGTCAACAGAATTTGTCTAGTCTGTTCGAATAAACATCGTAATTAAGTATATTTTTGCTTGACTCTCTTGTAAACTAATACTGGAAATCGAGGTGCTACGGCTATATTAAAATGATCGACAGCAATTATCAATAGAATGTAATCGAATTGTCCTTGTATGGTTTCGCATAAACGCAAATGTTAGGAATCAATGGAAATTAACTGCTGTATTATGCATAATCATGATCATCAGTTATTTATATAGTAGATTATTAATATTTTGCCCACATTATCTCGACTTGCATTGTTGTATTTATATCCAAACTCTAAAAACGGCTGCTATCCAATTTTGTCTCACGTACTCAAATGTCAGTGGACAATAGATGATCGAAAACATCACAGAAGGGAATGCAACTTGTTTATCTTCAACCTCATTGGTGAAATGCTTTCACATTTTGTATGCGACTTGGTTTCCAGTATTCCGGAACGGTATTATAATTGCTAAATACGTTATTCCCATTTAAATGTTGTATTGTTGTGTAAAGTGGGCGAAGAGTAGGAGAAAAAAAAAAAAGAGAAAGTTTCCCGCCATGTGTTTTCTCATTGGCAAAGGAAAACGACGCTGAACAGCATATCCCCTCCCCCCAATCTAATCGTTGTAACTGTTGATAATAGCGATAATTCTTTACGTCATCATATCTTTAATTAATCATCGTATGACGAATTCATATATATCCAACAAGGTTTTGCGCATCATCTGACGCTATAAATCGATCCTGCAATGAAACAGGCTTGCAAGTAACATTGTTTATATTATGATTATTAACTCGAGTAATTAGGTGCATTGCAGTCAACAAACAACGCAAGTATAACAGATAATGGCATGATTTGATATGATATTGCAAGTGATTACATCAACAGGAGGGAATGGGCCAAGTATCAAATCATCGTGTACATACAATGAATGCGACAACTGAAATCGCGTTGTCATCTGATACGCAATTCCGTTTAGAATACACGCGGAATGCATATATCAGTAAGAGCGTTACGTCTTTTAGCGACACTAATAACATCGTGTGTTTTGTTGATTTTATTTTATTTAATTTAATTT